AGTCTCCTTTGGCTCTACAAGCTCAAGAATCCGTCAGGTCGTCTTTGCTCGGTGGGCAATGCAGACTCAGCAGTTTAATTTCAATGTTATTCACAGGAAAGGTTCTTCTATGCAGGCGCCAGATGCTCTAAGCCGCACTCCAGTTGAGGAGGTTCCTGTCGAGGTTTCTTTGATTGATTTTGAATCCAGCAATGATCCTTTGTATGATGAATTAGTCCGCAAGGTGGAGTCGTCTCCTGATGAGTACAGCAAGTTTGCCATCAAGGACGGGTATCTCATGAAACTTATCACTGTTAGCTCCAAGGATCCGTTGAAGTGGGTGCAGGTGATGCTGAAAGGGAAAAGAAGAGATGTTTTACAGCACTGTCACGATGAGCCAACGAGTGGTCACGGTGGATTCTATCGGACATTTCAGAGAGTTAGAAGAACAGCTTATTGGCCTGGTATGAAGAAAGAAGTAAAGGAGTATGTAGAGAAGTGTGCCACCTGTCAGCGTGTGAAGATGGACCGCAGTCGCCGTCCTGGTCTCATGGGTTCCAGTCGAGTCGTTGGTTCTCCTATGGAAGTTGTCACTCTCGATTTAGTTGGTCCTCTCCCTCGCTCTTCTAAGGGTTTCACTTATCTTCATGTGATAACCCATGTTTTCTCGTCTTCTTGCGTCCTCTCCGTGAAGCTACTGCTGCTGCAGTCACCAAACATCTGAAAGAAGATGTGTATTTAGTTCATGGCGCTCCTAGTCTTATTCTCTGTGATAATGGTTCGTAGTATCGAAGTAAACCATTTCAGGAATTGTGCAAGAGTTTCCACACTCGCATCAAGTTCAATCTGCCATATAATCCTAGAAGCAACCCCACTGAAAGATACAATCAAACGATTGAAACCATGCTTTGTAGCTATGTTCAAGACAATCTTCGTGCCTGGGATAAGTTCTTACCTGAAATTCAGTGTGCCATAAACTCTTCTGTCAGCCATGTTACTGGTCATTCGCCTTGCAGAGTCTTGTACGGCCACGACATTGTTCTTGATGGTCGTGAGCGGTTGTTCAATCCCGATGAAGAAGATCCAGAAGTAGCCGATCCTCAAGAAAAATCTGAAGCAGAAAAAGAAGAATATGAGCTGTTAATGACTGAGATTAAAGAGAAGATTAGAAACGCTCAGAGAAGAAACGCTTTTCGTTATAACTTACGGCGTAGAGACGCTCACCTAACGACTAGTTGTCTGGTCTGGAGGCGTAACTATGTAAAGTCTGATAAAGCAAAGTTTTTCACAAAGAAGTTAGCAGACAAGTAGATTGGGCCATTCAAAATAAAATCAAGAGTTGGACGAGTCTCTTACCTTTTAAGTGATGAAGATGGGAATGATGATGGCCCTTGGCACATTGAGCAATTGAAGAGGTGTCTTCAGTAAAAATTGTGAACTACAATCTTTCTCCCAGCAGGGGGGAGATGTAACGGGTTGTCCATCCTCCGCCAGTTTCAAAATTCCGCGCGCGCCGCCAGCGCGCCGTCCAGTCGGCAGAATAGCACAAGTGGCGCCACCAAGCGGCGGCGGCGACAACCACGCCAGTCCGCCGGCACGTCCAGACCGGCAGTCACGGAGCGGGAGCGGAAGCGAGCGGCCGGCCACGCCTTGCCCGCTGTGTGTCGGTTCGCGTTTAATTTGTCAATCAAGTTCAAGGTAATTGTGTCTACGTTGTCTCTACGTTCCGTTCTGTCGCTGTTCGTAATGGCATTTCCTGCAAGCCCTTCGGGTATGTTGTCATCCACCCGTCCCGGCGTTGGTTTTTCCGCATCAGTTGCTTTGTTGTAACCACATGGTTTCTTCTCCAGGGCTTTTGGTCTTTGCCATAATTTCCGCTGTGGGTTGCCTGCCCGCAATGCGCGGCTA